AGAGAAGCTCAAGCGCAACATAATGATACCTCTTAGAAGTCTATGGCTTTCTTTTTAAGAAAGATATTTGCAAATGTAAAACATGCTTCAAATGGCTCTTTTATAGCGCAAAATGACAGTATATACGCGATTTAATCGTTTTCTTTGGATTGCGCAAGAAATAATGATGAGAGAGATAAACCGATGTCAAGAACAGAAAGAGAAGCTCAAGCGCAACATAATGATACCTCTTAGAAGTCTATGGCTTTCTTTTTAAGAAAGATATTTGCAAATGTAAAACATGCTTCAAATGGCTCTTTTATAGCGCAAAATGACAGTATATACGCGATTTAATTGTTTTCTTTGGATTGCGCAAGAAATAATGATGAGAGAGATAAACCGATGTCAAGAACAGAAAGAGAAGCTCAAGCGCAACATAATGATACCTCTTAGAAGTCTATGGCTTTCTTTTTAAGAAAGATATTTGCAAATGTAAAACATGCTTCAAATGGCTCTTTTATAGCGCAAAATGACAGTATATACGCGATTTAATTGTTTTCTTTCGATTGCGCAAGAAATAATGATGAGAGAGATAAACCGATGTCAAGAACAGAAAGAGAAGCTCAAGCGCAACATAATGATACCTCTTAGAAGTCTATGGCTTTCTTTTTAAGAAAGATATTTGCAAATGTAAAACATGCTTCAAATGGCTCTTTTATAGCGCAAAATGACAGTATATACGCGATTTAATCGTTTTCTTTGGATTGCGCAAGAAATAATGATGAGAGAGATAAACCGATGTCAAGAACAGAAAGAGAAGCTCAAGCGCAACATAATGATACCTCTTAGAAGTCTATGGCTTTCGTTTTAAGAAAGATATTTGCAAATGTAAAACATGCTTCAAATGGCTCTTTTATAGCGCAAAATGACAGTATATACGCGATTTAATCGTTTTCTTTGGATTGCGCAAGAAATAATGATGAGAGAGATAAACCGATGTCAAGAACAGAAAGAGAAGCTCAAGCGCAACATAATGATACCTCTTAGAAGTCTATGGCTTTCTTTTTAAGAAAGATATTTGCAAATGTAAAACATGCTTCAAATGGCTCTTTTATAGCGCAAAATGACAGTATATACGCGATTTAATCGTTTTCTTTGGATTGCGCAAGAAATAATGATGAGAGAGATAAACCGATGTCAAGAACAGATAGAGAAGCTCAAGCGCAACATAATGATACCTCTTAGAAGTCTATGGCTTTCTTTTTAAGAAAGATATTTGCAAATGTAAAACATGCTTCAAATGGCTCTTTTATAGCGCAAAATGACAGTATATACGCGATTTAATTGTTTTCTTTCGATTGCGCAAGAAATAATGATGAGAGAGATAAACCGATGTCAAGAACAGAAAGAGAAGCTCAAGCGCAACATAATGATACCTCTTAGAAGTCTATGGCTTTCTTTTTAAGAAAGATATTTGCAAATGTAAAACATGCTTCAAATGGCTCTTTTATAGCGCAAAATGACAGTATATACGCGATTTAATCGTTTTCTTTGGATTGCGCAAGAAATAATGATGAGAGAGATAAACCGATGTCAAGAACAGAAAGAGAAGCTCAAGCGCAACATAATGATACCTCTTAGAAGTCTATGGCTTTCTTTTAAGAAAGATATTTGCAAATGTAAAACATGCTTCAAATGGCTCTTTTATAGCGCAAAATGACAGTATATACGCGATTTAATCGTTTTCTTTGGATTGCGCAAGAAATAATGATGAGAGAGATAAACCGATGTCAAGAACAGAAAGAGAAGCTCAAGCGCAACATAATGATACCTCTTAGAAGTCCATGGCTTTCTTTTTAAGAAAGATATTTGCAAATGTAAAACATGCTTCAAATGGCTCTTTTATAGCGCAAAATGACAGTATATACGCGATTTAATCGTTTTCTTTGGATTGCGCAAGAAATAATGATGAGAGAGATAAACCGATGTCAAGAACAGAAAGAGAAGCTCAAGCGCAACATAATGATACCTCTTAGAAGTCTATGGCTTTCTTTTTAAGAAAGATATTTGCAAATGTAAAACATGCTTCAAATGGCTCTTTTATAGCGCAAAATGACAGTATATACGCGATTTAATCGTTTTCTTTGGATTGCGCAAGAAATAATGATGAGAGAGATAAACCGATGTCAAGAACAGAAAGAGAAGCTCAAGCGCAACATAATGATACCTCTTAGAAGTCTATGGCTTTCTTTTTAAGAAAGATATTTGCAAATGTAAAACATGCTTCAAATGGCTCTTTTATAGCGCAAAATGACAGTATATACGCGATTTAATCGTTTTCTTTGGATTGCGCAAGAAATAATGATGAGAGAGATAAACCGATGTCAAGAACAGAAAGAGAAGCTCAAGCGCAACATAATGATACCTCTTAGAAGTCCATGGCTTTCTTTTTAAGAAAGATATTTGCAAATGTAAAACATGCTTCAAATGGCTCTTTTATAGCGCAAAATGACAGTATATACGCGATTTAATCGTTTTCTTTGGATTGCGCAAGAAATAATGATGAGAGAGATAAACCGATGTCAAGAACAGAAAGAGAAGCTCAAGCGCAACATAATGATACCTCTTAGAAGTCCATGGCTTTCGTTTTAAGAAAGATATTTGCAAATGTAAAACATGCTTCAAATGGCTCTTTTATAGCGCAAAATGACAGTATATACGCGATTTAATCGTTTTCTTTGGATTGCGCAAGAAATAATGATGAGAGAGATAAACCGATGTCAAGAACAGAAAGAGAAGCTCAAGCGCAACATAATGATACCTCTTAGAAGTCTATGGCTTTCGTTTTAAGAAAGATATTTGCAAATGTAAAACATGCTTCAAATGGCTCTTTTATAGCGCAAAATGACAGTATATACGCGATTTAATCGTTTTCTTTGGATTGCGCAAGAAATAATGATGAGAGAGATAAACCGATGTCAAGAACAGAAAGAGAAGCTCAAGCGCAACATAATGATACCTCTTAGAAGTCTATGGCTTTCTTTTTAAGAAAGATATTTGCAAATGTAAAACATGCTTCAAATGGCTCTTTTATAGCGCAAAATGACAGTATATACGCGATTTAATCGTTTTCTTTGGATTGCGCAAGAAATAATGATGAGAGAGATAAACCGATGTCAAGAACAGAAAGAGAAGCTCAAGCGCAACATAATGATACCTCTTAGAAGTCCATGGCTTTCTTTTTAAGAAAGATATTTGCAAATGTAAAACATGCTTCAAATGGCTCTTTTATAGCGCAAAATGACAGTATATACGCGATTTAATCGTTTTCTTTGGATTGCGCAAGAAATAATGATGAGAGAGATAAACCGATGTCAAGAACAGATAGAGAAGCTCAAGCGCAACATAATGATACCTCTTAGAAGTCTATGGCTTTCTTTTTAAGAAAGATATTTGCAAATGTAAAACATGCTTCAAATGGCTCTTTTATAGCGCAAAATGACAGTATATACGCGATTTAATCGTTTTCTTTCGATTGCGCAAGAAATAATGATGAGAGAGATAAACCGATGTCAAGAACAGAAAGAGAAGCTCAAGCGCAACATAATGATACCTCTTAGAAGTCCATGGCTTTCTTTTTAAGAAAGATATTTGCAAATGTAAAACATGCTTCAAATGGCTCTTTTATAGCGCAAAATGACAGTATATACGCGATTTAATCGTTTTCTTTGGATTGCGCAAGAAATAATGATGAGAGAGATAAACCGATGTCAAGAACAGAAAGAGAAGCTCAAGCGCAACATAATGATACCTCTTAGATGTCTATGGCTTTCGTTTTAAGAAAGATATTTGCAAATGTAAAACATGCTTCAAATGGCTCTTTTATAGCGCAAAATGACAGTATATACGCGATTTAATCGTTTTCTTTGGATTGCGCAAGAAATAATGATGAGAGAGATAAACCGATGTCAAGAACAGAAAGAGAAGCTCAAGCGCAACATAATGATACCTCTTAGAAGTCTATGGCTTTCATTTTAAGAAAGATATTTGCAAATGTAAAACATGCTTCAAATGGCTCTTTTATAGCGCAAAATGACAGTATATACGCGATTTAATTGTTTTCTTTCGATTGCGCAAGAAATAATGATGAGAGAGATAAACCGATGTCAAGAACAGAAAGAGAAGCTCAAGCGCAACATAATGATACCTCTTAGAAGTCCATTGCTTTCTTTTTAAGAAAGATATTTGCAAATGTAAAACATGCTTCAAATGGCTCTTTTATAGCGCAAAATGACAGTATATACGCGATTTAATCGTTTTCTTTGGATTGCGCAAGAAATAATGATGAGAGAGATAAACCGATGTCAAGAACAGAAAGAGAAGCTCAAGCGCAACATAATGATACCTTTTAGAAGTCCATGGCTTTCGTTTTAAGAAAGATATTTGCAAATGTAAAACATGCTTCAAATGGCTCTTTTATAGCGCAAAATGACAGTATATACGCGATTTAATCGTTTTCTTTGGATTGCGCAAGAAATAATGATGAGAGAGATAAACCGATGTCAAGAACAGAAAGAGAAGCTCAAGCGCAACATAATGATACCTCTTAGAAGTCCATGGCTTTCTTTTTAAGAAAGATATTTGCAAATGTAAAACATGCTTCAAATGGCTCTTTTATAGCGCAAAATGACAGTATATACGCGATTTAATCGTTTTCTTTGGATTGCGCAAGAAATAATGATGAGAGAGATAAACCGATGTCAAGAACAGAAAGAGAAGCTCAAGCGCAACATAATGATACCTCTTAGAAGTCCATGGCTTTCGTTTTAAGAAAGATATTTGCAAATGTAAAACATGCTTCAAATGGCTCTTTTATAGCGCAAAATGACAGTATATACGCGATTTAATCGTTTTCTTTGGATTGCGCAAGAAATAATGATGAGAGAGATAAACCGATGTCAAGAACAGATAGAGAAGCTCAAGCGCAACATAATGATACCTCTTAGAAGTCTATGGCTTTCTTTTTAAGAAAGATATTTGCAAATGTAAAACATGCTTCAAATGGCTCTTCCCCTTTGCAACAGGCTTGTGTATATTTGGGGTGTGTATAGGCATCCAGGGGACTGGGTTGTAGTAGCTGGGAATGGCGTAGCTTGCCTTGTCATGGTAGCCTACGTGTGAACACAAGTGGTAAAAAAATACAGCATTTTTTAATTAAGCTTCTGATTGATGTAAAAAGCCATTGGCAGTCAACAGCAGACAATCCTCACATTTACAAGTTTGCTGACATGACTGCAAAATTGTTTTAGGCATAACTATGAGCCAACAGTAAATGACTGATTTCTTTAGCAAAACACATAAAAAGGTACCCATGTGTTTTCTGATAGGCAGGCAAGGGTTAAAAGATATAATAACAAAGGGAATTTGGAGTAGGGAGTATCACCCTTAAGACAAAAATCAATTAGACAAAATAATTGTTTCAAATCAAGACTTGGCCTGGTATTGGTATTGCAGGTATCCAAAGGGATTAGCGACAATATACTCATTACTTTGCTTTAAAGAAGACAACATTTATTGAAGTATAGAAGTGAAAGAAATAGTTACATGATAAGAGTTTGAACATGAATCTCAATATTTCTAATTGCTTTACTCTAGTCTCAAAACTTGATAAATACTCTTTGAAGGTTATGTATTTACTTAAGTTTGCTTACAAGGAAAGCATTCTAAGGGAAAAGAACATATTACAGATGAAAGTGTAGAAAGTATTAATGCATTTTCCACTTTAAAGAGTTTCAATTATTATTACTATGTAAGTAATAGTCTGATTTTCAGACCATTGAACTGTATGGTCGTACGTTTTATGCTGCGCAAAGATTCAATAAGTTTAATTTTCGCCATTACAAGAAGTGGGTTATTGATGTGAGCAATTACTCATGTACCCTTTACAGCTCATTTTATGTATGTTTACAAAAGAAGAGGAACAAAAAAAAAGTCACTCAATAGTGTCTGACAGTGAAGTCTAGCAAAACCAGGTTTTTTTTTGCATAATTTGAATTTAAGGACACTGCTAACTATAAATTTTCACAGATAGGACATACATGAAGATGATGTTGGCTGCAAAAGAAACATAGTATCTTTAAAAGGAAGCTAACTAAGCTTTCGTGGTTATTGTAGCAACGTGGATTGTCGACACAGTCTTATAACATAGATTACTATGGTAATTCTTTCTCTCATTCACTCATTTGCATATTTATGGTAATTTATGGTAATTTATGGAAATAAGGTAATAAAATTCGCATTTTTACCCATAAATCATATTATCTTCATATAAATATCAGTTTTCACTACATATATTCTTTAGACCATTTGGGATAATAATACAAAAAACAACAACAAGGAAACGCTCTCGCCTGCATTACGCAATTCGATATGGTGAAAAATTGAAGCTGGAACATTATTACTAGGCAGGGTGGTCCATTAGCAGGCCCCCCCAAAATGAAATCCTCTGAATATAATCAGCATTTTGAAGTGAATATTGATTAAGAATCATGAACAAATAACAAAAATTTATTCATTTTTCTCATATTAAGTTGTGAAAACATAATCCAAGACTACTGACCTAAAATGACCTTGTGACCTGGAATTTGTGTCATATGATTTGTGATACTTGATAACCCTTGGGTACAAGTTTCATGGAATTTGAACAAACACTTTTGAAAATATGCTAAAAATTCAAAATCTTGATGTTGATACCACAAAAAAAGTTAAAGTTTGTTGACCTAAAATGACCTCTGACCTTAACTTTGTGACCTGAATTCTACTCACATGATTGGGGATACTTGAGTACCTTATAGTCCAAGTTTCATTGACTTAGGACTTATACTTTCAAAAATTCAAAAACTTAACCCTAAGTTAAGTTTTTGATGTTGACGCTGTCAACACCGCCAACGCCGCCGCAGTCACCGGAAAAGCAGCGCCTATGTCTCGTTTTGTTGTTTTTTTGCTACGCAGGCGAGACAAAAATTGTATTTTACTCACTAAAGTACCGATTTTTAGTGACATCAGTTGAGTTTTGTACAGTGGTGTTTGAAATGTTGAGAATCAATAGAACAGTTTTTAATACAGCAGCAATTGGAGCCACAGTTTTCAAATTAAATACGGTAACCCATACAAAGAAACCAGTTCAAACCAAGTACAGGTTGGGCAACGTCACCCTGGAAGAAGTGCAACACCACCCCTACCTGAATTCAAAGGGACTCGGTTGGGCCACACATATTGACCAAACTTCATCAAATTATATGTAGGCTCAAATTAGAGTTCTATGCAGCTACATGTACAGTACATGGGACCCACAGCATAAGTCAGACCAGGACAAACTAAACATTCACAACGAGGGACTATGACAGGGAATCAAGTGTTACAAAGATGCTGGAAAATCAAAAATGGGAATCTTTGAAAGTCCGCAGAACCAAAGCCAGACTACCTGCATTGTATAAGGAAACACATAACACATGGATTAACACCCAGCAACATATCAACTTATCTTCTCATTTGAAAATGGTGCTACGGTACATACTTTATACTCTTTGCATTGCAGCTTTCTTGCATATTTATGCATCCACAACAACCACTGAGCTGATAAGAGTTTTAAGCAACTACCCAAAGGTTGATATTTAAAAACTAGATATCTTCGAAACAATGATATTTCCACCTTTCAATTAACATCAAATACTCCACTTTTGAAATTGATCATGTCTGGTGACGTCGAGCATAATCCAGGACCTGAACATTCAAATTCGTTATGTCATACACTCAATTGTCTACTACTAAATGCCTGTTCCCTTGGTAATAAACTGAATGACCTGAAAGTGAGTTACTTCCGATAAAATAGATGGATGAACTCCGATTCCTGCGATGGTGAAATCTTAGATGTACAACAATATCAAATCTTTCGTAAAGACCGCAATCACAATGGAGGAGGTGTACTTTTTGCATGAAAACGATTCACGGCTCCGAGTTTGAGATTCCCAGCTGCGAGTTGTTATGGATTCAATTTAGTTTACCACGAAATAAAGGCAAGCTCTTTTTGGGTGTATCGTCCCCCATCATCTACCTGAGGAACTGTTTATTTTGTCCGCTTTCTTTGTCCGTCATATTCATAGTCGTAGATTTACGGAAAACGATTGAATTTATTCCATGGAATCTATTTATTGATGAAGAGAGCATTGATAACACGTGTGAACTTCACACTGACTTGTGTTGCAGGCAACAATCAAAGATGTATTTATCAAAGGAAATAGTTAGAATATCCAGAAGAAAGAGAAGAGCTTACAGAAGAGCTTACAGAAGAGCTTTAATACAGGAAAGCAAGGAAAGCAAAGAAAGCAAAGAAAGCAAAGAAAGCAAAGAAAGCAAAGAAAGCAAAGAAAGCAAATAATCACATACTGTACATGGAAAGAGGATTTCCATAACAATGAAACACCTTGCTCTATTGTGTACACTCCAAGACATTTAAATGCCATTACCAAATCATGCATGCCCAAGTCTTGCCAGTATCATTCTTTGAGTATTTAAATAGAGGAACAGCTGAAAAGTCTTTTATCTAATCACACGTTGAAAAGTGATTGTTATAACTTTCACTGATTGTGCATATATTAAGATGCATGGTGGGAAATCAATTGTTCAGGCAATGATTATTCATCAGCTCATCATGTTTATGCATAAGTCACAAGAAATGTTGGTGAGGAGGGGATAAGTTGTACTAACTGTCCAAAAACTCTTTATCTGTTGGTAAGGTATATATGGAGGAGACTGCACTTGTACTGGATGTGACGCCATGTTCACATGCAGGGCCAGATCATCAGTTGGGGGGAAAATGGGGTTAAAATTTGTGGGGTAAGTATATGCTGTATATCTGGCCCTGTTGTCACAGTTCCATGTTAGTAGTTTTCTGCTGGCATGGATCTCCCCTGATCCTCCCCTGATGGCAATTTTCGAATATGATAAATCAAAATATATCAAAGCTCTCGACATATCTTGAGCATTTCTCACTCTGTTTAACCATTATTTTCGTGCATTTGTTAGATGTGTATTTATTGTTTTGTTTTTGAGACTTTGAGACGGTTTTAGTAATGTAGTAAAACATGCTGATGCGTATTGACCTCTAGCGCGGTATACTTGCTGAGAGGGAGCTCGATTTGAATTTTCAAAGTATTCTTTTAGTTTCTAACATCATTAAGTTGAAACAAGGGAAACGCTCTCGGCGGTCTCGCCTGCATTACGCAATTTGTTATGATGAAAAATTGAAGTTGGAACATTATTATAGGCAGGGTGGCCATTAGCAGGCCCCAAAAAATGAAATCCTCTGAATATAATCAGCATTTTGAAGTGAATATTGAACAAATAACAAAAATTGATTCATTTATTCTCATATTAAGTTGTGAAAACATAATCCAAGACTACTGACCTAAAATGACCTTTGACCTTGTGACCTGGAATTTGTGAAATATGATTTGTGATACTTGAACAAACACTTTTGAAAATATGCTAAAAATTCAAAATCTTGATGTTGATACCACAACATAGTCTAAGTCTGTTGACCTTTGACTTTGTGACCTGAAATTCTACTCACATGATTGGGGATACTTGATAACCCTAAAGTCCAAGTTTCATTGACTAAGGACTCGTACTTTCAAAATTATATCAAAAATTAAAAAACTTAACCTTAGGTTAAGCTTTTGTTGTTGACGCCGTCGCCGTCACTGGAAAAGCGGCGCTTAAATGTCTCGCTTTTTTGCTACGCAGGCGAGACAAAAAAGGAAGAGCCAGGTTATTCCTTATGTTATCTATTGTTCTGATAATTTCTCATGTATTTCTTTGTTTTTTAACTTATGTATTTTGTTGTTTTATTTCATTTCTAACTATAATTCAACTAATTTGACCCCCAAATAAGTATAAACAAGACCAAATAACCAATGTTTTATCTCTTTTTTGGAAAAATGAGATTTCCATATGTTTTGTACACAAATCACAAAAATGAGTGATTTGGGCTGACATGCACAGACAAAAGGTCATGTGACTTTGTCCGTTTTTTGAAAAATATATTTCAAAAGATGCGCCAGACTTGAAAGAAAAAAGTTATACATTTCAGCGCAAGATTCTTTTGCGTTGAAAATGTATCAGGAAAAATGTAGGGCGGGGGCTTCTGAAGACCCCCCCCCACCCCCCCAGGCTAGATAGGGCTAAAGATAAAGTTGATTTCTGGTCATGTGATTGCATTGTGAAAGAAACGGTGAGGAATCGATCAGAAAAGGTGTGAACTGCAAGGTTCTGGAATCATCAAAATGATAACAAATGTGGACCAGTCTTGGTAAAGTTACAAGCACTATACACAGAAATATGTATATGCAGGGCTTAAATTAATCCAAGGCCACCAAGGCCATGGATGCCCCTTTGATTGGCCTCAATGATTTTTTGTGCCCTTTCCAATTCTTCTTATTTGTGCTGTAATATAGGAATGTGCCCTGCAGAAAAGTGGCCTTGCCCTAAAAATGTTGAAATTTAAAGCCTGTATTTGGGACTACATGAACATTTGGCGTAAAAATCCGTCCGTTATGCTGTTACATGAAATATTTAGAATATTAAGGCATTTGAAGAGCCATGCTTTTCAGGAAACATTTGTTATCTGATGTTCTTCCAGACTTGTATAATAACAATGATAATTTATTTATTTATTTATTTATTTATCATTCTTCGTCATCTTTAAAAGTTTACAGCTGATGTGATCTTCACCAGTTGCTTTATCTATACTCAGATTATCAATCTGTTTCAATACAAAATCCTCAGTAATCAAATTCAAATTAAATTGCGAATGAGTTGGACCCATATTATTGTCCTCGTCTAATGCTCACAAATTATTGTTCACCTGTTCCCAGAACTCAACCTTCTCTTTAAGAGAGCCCTGTTAGCCATAGAAATTGCCTACGGGAAGTGGTCTTATTCTATACTTACTTCACAAACCCACGCTCCCATTATCCACAATAAAATTATACATATGGAGCAATCAAATTTGCATTTGCAAACTCTGCAAAAATCACATGATAATGATAATTAAACAAGTTAAACACAAAACACATAAAACAAAAGTAATTTGGTTGTCCTTGACTGCCAGCTCGTCATTTTCGGGCAGCTCATCAAAACATCACCAAACACTAAAAAGGTGTAGATGATTGTACTAAGACACACCTCCTTACAACATTTGAAAGAAATCTGTCAAAAAATGTGGCAGTTAGAGCACATTAAAGACATATTTGACCTTTGACCATATAAAAGACGGAACAATGAGGGCAGCTTCACCCGAAGTGTCGATTGGTAACAAGATAACATTTCTAATTCTCTATACAAAATTTGAAAGATCATGAAATATGATCTGCAGAGCGCAAACTAGACACCCACCAAAATATGAACTCTTGACCCTATACAAGACGGAAAACTGGGGGCAGCATCACCAAAATCTATATGCTTGTAGATTATACCAAGATACATCTTTGTTGAAAATTTGAACAAAATCCCTTGAAAAATATGGCCTATAGAGCACACACAAACCATCCAAAAAAATATGGCCTTTTAACCTATAGAAGACAGAACACTGGGGGCAGCATCACCAAAAGTTATAGGTGTGTAGATTATATCACGAGACACCTCCATACAAAATTTGAAAGAAATCCGTCAAGGAATGATGCAGTTAGAGCGCACACAAGAATAAAATATGGCCTTTAACCCTATAAAAGACGGAACACTGGGGGCAGCATCACCAAAAGTTATAGGTGTGTAGATTATGTCACGAGACACCTCCATACAAAATTTGAAAGAAATCCGTCAAGGAATGTGGCAGTTAGAGCGCACACAAGAATAAAATATGGCCTTTTACCCTGTAAAAGATGGAACATTGGGGGCAGCGTCACCAAAAGTTATAGGTGTGTAGATTATACCAAGATACACCTCCATACAAAATTTGAAAGAAATCCGTCAAGGAATGATGCAGTTAGAGCGCGCTCAAGAATAAAATAATATGACGCGGTGGCATAACGCTGCTGAATCCAAAGTACCCGCCGGCATACTGCCGGGGGATACAATTATTTCAAAGATGTTTTTATACAACCCCTGTATGAATCATATTTTCCCTAACCAATCAGTAAGAAGACGAAAGTTTATAAAATTGGAGAGGAGCTTGCAAGATATGTCACAGTGTTGCCAATTTGTGTTTCAATGATGACAACTTTGAAAATATATAACTTTCTTATTTCTAGTCGGTTTTTGCTCAAACTTTCACTGACCTGTTTCTCTCATTTTCCTGCTTTTATTAAAAGCAACTTAATATCAGGGTGGACTTCCCCTTTAACACTCACCTTTGCTTTCTCCTGGACTCCCCTCTTCTCTTCTGCTTCAAGTTGTTTCTTTGTCTTCTCTAGCCTCCAGTTGGCTTTTCTCGATTCCTGCTCCTTAGTTGTTCTTTCCTCAATCCACATGTTGACCTTGACCTCAATGACCTTAGCTTTCTCCACCTTCATCTTCTCCTCTTCTGCAATCTTCAGCTGTTTCTCCCTCTGCAGCTTGGCCTAAACTTGATAAAGAGAGAAAAGAAGAGAAAAGAGTGAGTGAGAGTGAGAAAGGGGGGAGGAAGGAGAGGGAGAGAAAGGGGGGAGGAAGGAGAGGGAGAGTAAGAGAGAGAGGAAGGAGAGTGAGAGAGCGGGGATTGGGAGGGGATTGGGAGGAGAGGCTGGAGAGGGAGAGTAAGAGAGAGAGGGAGAGTGAGAGAGAAGGGGAGAGGCTGGATAGAGAGAGAGAGAGAGAGAGAGAGAGAGAGAGAGAGAGGGAGGAGAGTAGGGAAGGGAGAGAGAGAGAGAGAGAGAGAGAGAGAGAGAGAGAGAGAGAGAGAAGAGAGTGAGAGAGAAAGGGGGAAGGAAGAGAAAGGGGAAGGAGAGGGAGAGAGACAGACAGACAGAGGGAGAGTGACAGACAGACAGAGGGAGAGTGAGAGAGAGAGGGAGAGTGAGAGAGGGGGAAGGGGAGAGGCTGGATAGAGAGAGAGAGAGAGAGAGAGAGAGAAGGGAGAGAGAGAGAAGGGAGAGAGGGAGGAGAGTACGGGAAGAGAGAGAGAGAGAAGAGAGTGAGAGAGAAAGGGGGAAGGAGAGGGAGAGAGACAGACAGAGGAGACAGAGGAGAGAGAGGGAGAGAGAGGGAGAGAGAGAGAGAAGAGAGTGAGAGAGAAAGGGGGAAGGAAGAGAAAGGGGAAGGAGAGGGAGACAGAGAGAGAGGGAGACAGACAGAGAGGGAGAGTGAGAGAGGGGGAAGGGGAGAGGCTGGATAGAGATAGAGAGAGAGAGAGAGAGAGAAAGAGCAAGATAGAGAGGGAGAGTGAGAGAGAAGGGAGAGAGGGAGGAGAGTAGGGGAAGGGAGAGAGAGAGAGAGAGAAGAGAGTGAGAGAGAAAGGGGGAAGTGAGAGAGAAAGGGGGAAGAGAGAGAAAGGGGGAAGAGAGAAAGGGGGAAGGAAGAGAAAGGGGAAGGAGAGGGAGACGGACAGAGAGGGAGACGGACAGAGAGGGAGACAGAGAGGGAGAGTGAGAGAGGGGGAAGGGGAAGGGGAGAGGCTGGATAGAGAGAGAGAGAGAGAGAGAGAGAGCAAGATAGAGAGGGAGAGAGGGAGGAGAGTAGGGGAAGGGACAGAGAGAGAGAGAGAGAGAAGAGAGAGAGAGAGAAGAGAGTGAGAGAGAAAGGGGGAAGGAAGGGGAAGGGGAAGGAGGGGGAAGGAAGGGGAAGGAGGGGAAGGACGGGGAAGGAGAGGGAGAGAGACAGACAGACAGAGGAGGGAGAGAGGGAGAGTGAGAGAGAGAGATGGAAAATGGAGAGGGGAGGGAGGGGGAGGGGGAGGAGGGGAGAGGGGGAGAAGATTCAGAATATAGTGAAAAGGTAAGGATCACGACACCTCACCAACAGCTAAGGTAAAGACAATACTCTCAATTTGTGGTCATTAAAAGGGTGCTAGAAATTCTAGCACCAACTTAAATAACATTTTACATCAAATACCACACTTAAACAAAATGAAGTTAGCAAAACTTTAAACAATATGCGGCAAACGCTGGTAGCCCTCACCCTATCTAGCCCCCCTCCCCCCCTCTACATTTTTTGTGATTATTTTTCAACGATAAAGAATCTGTGCTGAAATTTTACGTCTTTTTCTTTCGAGCCTTGCGCATCTTTTGAAATAAATTTTTCGAAAATCGTACCTACCGTTACAAAGTCACTCAACCCTTTGTCTTTGCATGTCAGTCCAAAATCGCTCATTTCATGATTTATGTACAAAACATGTATGGAAATCTCATTTTTCAAAAAAAAGAGATAAAACATTGGTTATTTGTTCTTGTTTATAGCTTAGGTGTTTATTTCGGGGTTCAAAATAGTTGAATTTAAGTTATAATTAAAATAAAACAACAAAAACAATAAAATACATACATAACTAGATGGAATTTTGACTGCGCGCAGTCGAAAATGATGCCTCCGCCATAGAGCAATTTAAACAAGTTTGGAGTTTAAATCTCCAGTGGTTCTTGAGATATCATGATAACAATCTCAATGTATGGAATTTCATAAGTTGACCTCTGTGACCCTTGACCTTTGACCTACGTGCTCCAAAATCTAATCAGATTGTCTTCCTATGGTGATACACACTATCATTAAGTTTGAAGTTTAAATCTCCAGTGGTTCTTGAGATATTATGATAACAATCTCAATGTATGGAATTTCATAAGTTGACCTCTATGACCCTTGACCTTTGACCTACGTGCTCCAAAATCTAATCAGATTGTCTTCCTATAGTGATACACACTATCACTAAGTTTGAAGTTTAAATCTCCAGTGGTTCTTGAGATATTATGATAACAATCTCAATGTATGGAATTTCATAAGTTGACCTCTATGACCTTTGACCTTTGACCTACGTGCTCCAAAATCTAATCAGATTGTCTTCCTATAGTGATACACACTATCACTAAGTTTGAAGTTTAAATCTCCAGTGGTTCTTGAGATATCATAACAATCTCAATGTATGGAATTTCATAAGTTGACCTCTGTGACCCTTGACCTTTGACCTACGTGCTCCAAAATCTAATCAGATTGTCTTCCTATGGTGATACACACTATCATTAAGTTTGAAGTTTAAATCTCCAGTGGTTCTTGAGATATTATGATAACAATCTCAATGTATGGAATTTCATAAGTTGACCTGTGTGACCCTTGATCTTTGACCTACGTGCTCCAAAATCTAATCAGATCGTCTTCCTATGGTGATACATACTATCCTTAAGTTTGAAGTTTTTACATCTCCAGTGGTTCTTGAGATATGATAACAATCTCAATGTATGGAATTTCATAAGTTGACCTCTGTGACCCTTGACCTTTGACATACGTGCTCCAAAATCTAATCAGATCGTCTTCCTATGGTGATACATACTATCCTTAAGTTTGAAGTTTAAATCTCAAATGGTTCTTGAGATATCGCGCTAACAAACTCAATACAAGGAATTTCATAAGTTGACCTCTGTGACCTGTGACCTTTGACCTACGTACTCCAAAATCTAATTGGATCGTCTTCCTATGGTGATAAATACTATTCCCGAGTCTTAAGTTAAAATCTTAAATGGTTCTTGAGATATTGTGATAACGGTCAAACGGGACGGACGTACGGACGGACAACCCGAAAACATGATGCCTCCGGCACCACCTTCGGTGGCGGAGGCATAAAAAGGAAATACATAAGGAATAACCTGGCTATTCCAATTTTCTTTTGGTATTACTATCCCCAATGGTCTAAAGAATATATGTACCGGTAGTGAAAATGTTTAAATATGAAGAATATATGATTTATAGGTAAAAATGTGAATGTTATTACCTTATTTGCATGAATTACCATTAAAGGTAAAGACCAGTATTGGAAACGCCCTAATTTCAAAAAATGAAATGGAAGCTCTCATTACCAATCATGTGAAAGAATATGTTTTGACTAATACATGATGATAAAAAATTTCCCGGGAAACCGCCTACTAATTCATATATTTCGGAAATTTGTTTCTCTCATGGTCTGTGAGAGATATAGGGTAGTCCCATATACATCTTTCTGTGTATAGTGCTTGTAACTTTACGAAGAATGGGCAAAATTTCTTATCATTTTGATGATTCCAGAACCTTGCAGATGCTAGATGCTAGATGATCAACCTTTTCTGATCGATTCCACGTTTCTTTTACAATGCAATCGCATGACCATAACTGGTCTTTACCTTTAATATGCAAATGAGTGAATTTTTCTATACATTTCACTTGCATGCATGCATGCAAATTTTCGCAGAGAACAAAAGGGGGGGCCTTAGAAGTGTTGAGATTGTAAATAATAAACTCTTTTATGTTGTAAAGCTCCCTCTCAAGGTCAATATATTAATTTAGCTATTAACCAGTGTTTCTTGACTAAAATGGACTGATTGGCTATAGATTGGAAATTACATATCACAACTGCATATTCTTAGATTTTCATGGTTGCAGCTACCATTGTATGGCCTTAGGCGCTACCGGTATTTGAAACTATCAAAATTTACCAGGCACACCGGTAAATTTTGATATTCAATTTTTCTCGAAACCAGAAGTGTTTTAGGGGCTAAATTTTCTAGTGTTTATAATGCATCCACAGGGGCATCCAAATATATCAAAATTGTAAAGAATCACTATCCAGCCAATTTTCGAAATTTCCCAAAACTTTGTATTACCTTTAAAGGTGAGGGGTTTGATGGGACTGCCAACAGCCCTATAGACCAACTGTAAGTTTCATTACATTTATTTCTTCTTGGGTTCCCAAAGTTAGGGGGATATGCCAGCTCATACACCACCATTTGCAGTTTTGTAGACCCCACACCCTTTCTCTTTTGTCCGCAAGAACTTTAAGGATCCCGTTTAGTAACAGCATTACCTTTTCTTTCACTCTCTTTCTCTCTTGCTTAGTCTTTTTGATCAGCCATTTCTCCCACGGGGTCAACTGCGAGACTTTGTTGGATGTCGTCTGCGAGGTGGATGTTGAATGGGAGTCACTGGTCTTTGGCAGGGAGTACCTGGACGATTTGCTGCAACACTCCCGTCTGAGACCTTTGAGCGAGAGGTCGATAAAGGCCTTGATCGTGACTGACTGAATTCAAAGGGACTCGGTTGGGCCACACATATTGACCAAACTTCATCAAATTATATGTAGGCTCAAATTAGAGTTCTATGCAGCTACATGTACAGTACATGGGACCCACAGCATAAGTCAGACCAGGACAAACTAAACATTCACAACGAGGAACTATGACAGGGAATCAAGTGTTACAAAGATGCTGGAAAATCAAAAATGGGAATCTTTGAAAGTCCGCAGAACCAAAGCCAGACTACCTGCATTGTATAAGGAAACACATAACACATGGATTAACACCCAGCAACATATCAACTTATCTTCTCATTTGAAAATGGTGCTACGGTACATACTTTATACTCTTTGCATTGCAGCTTTCTTGCATATTTATGCATCCACAACAACCACTGA